TATGAAATCTCATACTCAGAAGCAAGGTCAATAAACGTAACAAACTTGATTAGAAATGGATGGGAAAATCCATAGCTTCTATCTGAGGTTGCAATCCCTGTTGGGATAAGTGGTGAACTTTAAATTTAATGGAGAGAAATAAGAGAGCTATAGAAGAGCTAAATAAGTTCTCCTGTATGCTTGCCTGACTGAGCAATTGCAGGCATTTACAGGGAAAACCCAAGAGACCCAGTGGCAAATAAAAGTTGAAGTAGACATGAAAACATCCTGAATTTAAAATGTGCTAGGAAGTGGGGCCTTTCCTTCCACAAGCCCTTTCCTCCCATATTAGGTTTGCCTTGTTATGTGGAATAATACTTGAAACTATGTTTTATTAAAATATATTTTATCTTTCATTGAAATCACCTGTTATGTTTGTTTGCAGACTGGCAACTTTTTTGCTTCTTCTCAGAAATAACAATTTTCAAGTATTGTCTTCCTCTTCAAGAAACTGAGCAGCAACACTCTATTTGTGCTAGAAAGTTCTCTGGTTTTGATTCTAATAAGAAAACCACTTATGTTTCTCAAATAAATAAATAAAATTTGCTACCCAAACCATAAACAGATCATCAGAGGTTAGAAGTCGTAAGAGCTGTGTTTGAGCACAATCTGACTAAATTACTGGCTGACCACAAACTACACAGATATGACTGTAGCATGCCACACTGAAAGTAAAACTAAGAATTAAAAGCAAACAAAAAATAAGATCTCCGTAGATTCAAGGAAAGAAACCTGACGTAGTGATGATGGTGGTGGTGGCTGCCTGGGGATAATACATTGTTACAAAATATCACCCAAATGAATGTTTTTCAAAAAAGTAAGTGATATGCAAAAAAACAAGCGTTGTATGACCTATCCTTGGGGAAGGGAGGCAGTCAGTAGAAACTGATCCTAAGGGCCCCAGGTATTGTATTCAGCAGAAACAGACATCAAAACAACTATTATAATCGCTTTCAAAGAAAGAAAGAAAGCTATGTTTCATAAAGTGAGGCAAATCTAAAGCAATAGCTCAACAAATAAGTAAGGGCAGAGAAACTCTGAAAAGGATTAAACAGAATTTCTGTAGCTGAAATGTAAAAATGGGAGTGCAGAGTTCACCACATGGACTTACTCTTCACACTACCTCTAGAATTGAGATGGCAGAAGAAAGGATCAGGGACCTTGAAAATAGATCAATGGAAATTATCTTATCTGAAGGACAGAGGGTAAGTACGATTGAAGAATAATTACTAGAATCTAAAAGACCTATGAAATGTGACCATGTTGTTAATAAGAGTTCCAGATGGAGGAAGAGAAAAAAGAGCAGAAAAATATTTAGAAATACAGTGGTTGAAAAATTTGATGGAAAATATATACAAATCCAGGAAGGAAAAAAAAAAAAAAAAAAAAAAAAGAACTGGCAACAAAGAGATCTACCCTTAGATCTATCACAGCCAAATTACTGGAAGACAAAGGAGAAAAGAAATCCTTGAAGATTGTTACAGAAAATCGATTCATGAAAAGTACGGGATAAAAACAAAATAAGTCATGGCTGATATCTGATCAGAAACAATGAGGGCCAAAAGACAGTTGAACAGTATATATATATAATGTGCAAAGGAAATACTGTCTATATACCAAACTACCCTTCAATTATAAAAGCAAAACAAACACATTTCCAGGTAAAGAAAGGGAGAATTTGTTGCTAGCAAATTTGCTTTAGAAGAAATATCAGGTGTTTTGTTTTCTTCCACAAGTGCCATACTAATTTTTCTGCATTTTCCCAATTTTAGTGAATGTGCAACCGAAGCAAGCATGAAAAATTAGGTTTTTAATGAAGTCTTTGAGGCTATTTATTTTAATACGTGGGAAGACATACTTATGTTGGGATACTTCAAAAATTTGTGGAAATTAAAAGATAAGTTTATTTTTGTGGAAAAAAAACTTTTGAAAGCCAATGCATATGTATATAATAATAATAGCAAAAAGGAGGGGGAGGAAATGGAGCTATAAGCAATCGAAGAAATGGAACAATGGAGCCATGAGCAAATACAGCATTATTGTTATGCTTTCCTGGAATTAGGTTAGTATTAATAAGGAATCAAGTGCAACGATTGAAATTGTACATTGTAGTCCATGGATTAACCAGGAATAATAGGCCTTATATGGATATAGGATCTTTGTAGATATGACAGCATCCTTAACAAGAAAAGGGAAATTTGGAGACATAGACAGACGCGTTGAGGAAAAAGATAGAAATTAGAGTGACCAAGGATTGCCAGATGGCACTAGAAGCTAGGAGGGAAGCATAGAGTAGATTCTTCCTCAGAGCCTCCAGTAGAAACCAAAACCCCAATTTTGGATTTCTACATTCTGGAGCCATGGATGGGAACAAATTTCTGTTGTTTGACACCATGATATTTTTGGCACTTTGTTATGGTAGCCCTGGGAAGCTAATGATACAAGCAAATTAAAAAACAAAGATTTAATTGACTGAAGAAGAAGAAATGCAAGACACCAATATATGGTGTTTGTAAGGGAAAACATTTAGATACAAAGATGCAAACAGTCTGATGTAAAAGAATGGAAGAAGTATAATCTCATGCCCATAATAAGAAAGTTAGAGTGTGTATATGCATATGAGACAAAATAGATTACCATACAATAATACTAGTGGAGAAAAAAGTGACATTTTATAAAGAAAATGGTTACTACATCAAAAGTACATTAAACAACTTTGATGTGTAGGCATGGGTGTTTAGCCTAGCATTTGGGGCACCAATTGGGATGCTTGTGTCCCATACTGGAGTGACTTAGTTCAATGTCCATCTCTGGTTCCTGACTCCAGTTTTCTGCTGATGTGGACCCTGATGGCTAGTATTGATGGCTCAAGTGGTTGGGTTCTGTTCACCCACGTGGGAGACCTGGCTGTCAGCTTCAGCCCTGGCCCTGCCAAAACATTGTAGGAATTTGAGGTGTGAACCAGTGGATGAAGGTTCTCTCCTTCTATCTGTTGCTATCAGTATGCCTCTCAAAAGTAAATGTTTACACACCTAAAAACAGAGCCTAAAATACATAAAGCAAAAACAACCTAGAATGTTTAAAAGAACAATAGACATTTCAACAACGAGAGTTAAACATTTCAATATCCTGCTCTTGATAATTGATAGAATAAGTAGACAAAATCAGGTTATTGAAGATTCGAACAACCCTGTCACCAACTTTCTAATGTTTATAGAACATTCCATCCAACAGCAAGTAAATACACATTCATCTCAAGCACACGTGGAATATTCTAAGGATAGGCTATATGCTAGACAGTAAAATGAGTCGCAGTGTTTAAAAACCAAAACAAGTTAAGCTATAGTCTCAGATTGTAATATTATTAAATAGAAAATAACAACACACAAAATACCTAGGAATTATTATATATGTGGAAATTAAACTATTTGCCTGAATACCCCATGCGTTAAGGAAAAAATCACCAGAAAAATTGAAGATTGCTTTTAACTATATTAGATAAGAAGAAAACATACCAAAAGTTATGGGACGATAGTAAAGCAGTGTTTGGAAGGAAATTTGTAGCTCTGGATGCCTACATTAGGAAAGAAGAAAGGTCTCAAATCCATTACATATGCTTTCATCTTCAACCAGAAAAAGAAGGAAATAATTAAATCCAAAGAAAGCATGAAGAAAGAAAAAATAAACATCAGAGAAAAAAAACCAATGAAGTGGAAAACAGTGTAACAATAGAGTACAATCAATGAAACTAAAAACTTAGTTATTCTTAAGGAGCAATAAAGCCAATAAACCTGATCAAATCAAACGAATCAACCAACGCCCTTTCCTCCTGGGAAGAGAGAAAGGTAAAGATACAAATTGTCAAGTTCAATAAAGTAGAAGAAAGCATCAACACCACCATAGCAATTAACATAGTTAATAAGTAAACATAATGGAAAATTTCATGCCATAAATTAGACAACCTAGATGAAATGGAAAAATTTCTAGAAAGGAAAATATAATCAAAATTGACTCAAGAAGTAATAGGATTTCTAAATAGAATCATAAGAGGTACTGATATTGAATTGATAATTAAAAAAAAATCTTACCACAAAGTCTTGACCCAAGTGATTCCTTAGGTGAAGTCTATAAAATATTTAAAGAAGAAATAATCTCAATGCTAAAAGAAACTCCTTTAGAAAACAAGGAAAAAGGGGATGATTCCTGAGGTATTTCATGAATACATTATCACTATGAAACCAAAGCCAGGAAAAGATATCATTAGAAAGGATCAACATGCCTCATAAGCATACATATAAAATGATTAAATGTTAGCAGACTGAATCCAGTAACATGTATAACATGTTATAAATTATAGCCAAGTAAAATTTACCCCAGGACACTAAAGTTTGCTTAATATCTGAAAATAACTTAAATTGTTGTTTTAATAGGATAAAGGGCAATTAATACATAAGTATCTCAATAAAAACAGCAAAGGAATTTTTACAAATTCAACACTCATCGAAAAAAAACTCCAAACAGATAATTTCCTCAACTGACATAGGACAGCTGGTGAAAAACCTGCACCTAACATCATCCTTAATGGACATAGAATGTTAATTGCTTGAGACTACAATGTAAATTCTCATTACTTCTATTTGACATTGAAAATAGTTCTAGCCAGTGCAATAAGACAAGAAAAGTAAATTTAAGGCATGCATATTAGAAAGAATTTAATGCATTATTTGTTAACAAATTGAGCAATTAAGAGTTTAGCATGATCACTTGGCACAGAACCATACACAAGTGACTTGTGTTTCTAATGTAGCAATATTAAAATAAAATTACAAAAATAATTATGTTAGTAAGAACATCAAAGTGACTCAAATAATTAGGAAAAATTAGGAAAAGTGGTGCAATCCTATGTCCTAAAAATTATAAAACATTGCTGAGAGTAATGGACTTTCCAAGGGATGGGAGTATCTGTCCTGTGGGCTGTTTAAGGCCCATGAAATAATTTGGTCTGCCTGCCAAGGTAACCACAGGTAGGACCTGAAATTCAAGAAATATATAGCAAGCTAATTTTTAAGTTGATAATTTTGTATGGCCTGCAAATGATGTTATAAATATCCAAATGGCCCTTGGCAGAAAAAAAGGATCCTCACCCGATGGATATTTCAGGTTCACAGAAATGAAAACTTAAAAGTTTAAAGACAACAGTTGTTGACAAATTGATCCTTAGATTCATTAGTTGCTATTAGACCACATCAAGGTTTTCTTTAGAACTCAACAAGATAGCCGGCGCTGCGGCTCACTAGGCTAATCCTCCGCCTAGCGGCGCCGGCACACCGGGTTCTAGTCCCAGTCAGGGCGCCAGATTCTGTCCCGGTTGCCCCTCTTCCAGGCCAGCCCTCTGCTGTGGCCAGGGAGTGCAGTGGAGGATGGCCCAGGTGCTTGGGCCCTGCACCCCATGGGAGACCAGGAAAAGCACCTGGCTCCTGGCTCCTGCCATCGGATCAGCGTGGTGCGCCGGCCGCAGTGCGCTGGCCGCGGCGGCCATTGGAGGGTGAACCAACGGCAAAGGAAGACCTTTCTCTCTGTCTCTCTCTCTCACTGTCCACTCTGCCTGTCAAAAATAAAAAAAAAAAAAGAACTCAACAAGATAATTATAACAATTATGTGGAGATGCAAAGGGCCTAGAATGGCTAAAACATAAAAAAAAAGTTGAAGGACTTATAGTACCCAATTTCCAACTTAATAAAATTATGATAATGTATTATATAAAGAACAATGGACGTTCCATTGATAGACCTAGATAAAATCCCTTACATCTGTGATCAACTGATTACAGACAAAGATGTTAAGATAATTTAATAGTGAAAGTTTTCAAGTTAGTCACACTAGGACATAAGATAGTGCTGAGGCAATGTCAAATTAAAAAATAAAGTTGAGGCCGGCACCGCGGCTCACTAGGCTAATCCTCCGCCTTGCGGCACCAGCACACCGGGTTCTAGTCCCGGTCGGGGCGCCAGATTCTGTCCTGGTTGCCCCTCTTCCAGGGCAGCTCTCTGCTGTGGCCAGGGAGTGCAGTGGAAGACGGCCCAAGTGCTTGGGCCCTGCACCCCATGGGAGACCAGGAGAAGTACCTGGCTCCTGCCATCAGATCAGCGCGGTGCGCGGCCACAGCGCGCTGGCCGCGGCGGCCATTGGAGGGTGAACCAGCGGCAAAAGGAAGACCTTTCTCTCTGTCTCTCTCTCTCACTGTCCACTCTGCCTGTCAAAATAAATAAATAAATAAAGTTGAAAGCTAACCTCAAAATTAAGTCAAAATAGTTAAAAGAAATTATTGTAAGAGCTAAAAGCTTCCATAATAAAACAGAAGATATTTTAAATCTGTAGTTAGCAGTTTCTTAGATATGACAACAAACAGCCCAATATGTTTAATTAAGAATTGGTTTGGGTTTCATCAAAACTTTTAAAATGAGTTCTTCAGAAGAGTACATATAAAAATGGACAACAGGAACCAACGCTGTGACGTAGTGGGTAAAGCCACCATTTGTGATGCTGGTATCCCATATTGGCACTGGTTCGAGCCTCGGCTGCTCCACTTCCCAACCAACTCCCTGCTAATGCACTTGGGAAAAGCAGCAGAAGATGGCCTTAGTGCTGGGGTCTCTGCACTCATGTGGGAGGCCTGGAAGAAGCTGCTGGCTTCAGGTTGGCCCTACCCTAACCATTGCAGCCATCTGGGTAGTCAACCAGTGGATGGAAGGTTTGTCTCTGATCTCCCTCTGTCTCTAACTATGACATTCAAATAAATCAATAACCCTGTAAAAATGGACAATAAGCTGTAAACAGAAAGAAAATATATCTATCAGATATATATATTTACATATCTGATAAAGGGCCTATACCTGGAATACATAAATAACTCTCATACAGCTCAACAGTAAGATTTTAAAAATATGCAAAAAATTGAACAGGCATTTCATAGAAGACATATGCACATGAAAAGATATTCAACAACAGACTATTAGAGAAATGCAAATTAAAGACACACTGAGATATCACTATATGAACACTAGAGTAACTATTATCAAAAAAGACTGTGATACTACTATATGACCACTGGAGTAGCTATAATCATATAGACTGAACAAAAAGAGGGGCAGGTGTTGATGAGAACATGGAGAAAACAGAACTCGCATATGTTGATTGTGGGAGTATAAAATGGTACAGCTACTTTAAAAAAAGGCAGCCTATTGAGCCGGCGCCGTGGCTCAATAGGCTAATCCTCCACCTTGCGGCGCCGGCACACCGGGTTCTAGTCCCAGTCCGGGCGCCAGATTCTGTCCCGGTTGCCCCTCTTCCAGGCCAGCTCTCTGCTGTGGCCAGGGAGTGCAGTGGAGGATGGCCCAAGTATTTGGGCCCTGCACCCCATGGGAGACCAGGAGAAGCACCTGGCTCCTGCCTTTGGATAGGCGCGGTGCGCCGGCCGCAGCACGCTGGCCGCGGTGGCCATTGGAGGGTGAACCAACGGCAAAGGAAGACCTTTCTCTCTCTCTGTCTGTCTCCCTGTCACTGTCCACTCTGCCTGTAAAAAAAAAAAAAAAAAAAGGTAGCCGTTCCATTGCTAGATATCGCTGGACATAATGTACACATGCACCTACTACTGAATAGACAAACAATATGGAGAAACATATTCAGTGGAACATAAAGATACTTCAAAAACTTCATGAAAAGTAGAACTAAAAAATAATATGCATCTGCCATGAACATTTGGAAAACCCCTTGTATAATTCAGTAATTAAAAAGAAGCTAGACATTAAATAACATGGGGGAAGTCCAAAAAGATTATGTGAAGTAAAAAACATAAGATATAAGAGATCACTTATTTTATAATACCATTTACATGAGATTTCTAGAAGAGGAAACTCTACAAAATTGAAAGTATGTGCATATCAACATTGCCTAGAGTTGGTGGTGGGAGTGAAAATCATCTGGAAAAAGTCACAAGGAATCCTTCTGGAGTCATGGGAATGTTTTAACCATGGATGTTTGTACAAATCTATAATTTGCTAAATATCATGGAACTGTAGAATTACAATAGTTGAACATTATGATGTTTTAAACCATAACTAAATAAAGCTGTTAGGCAAAAAATTGCAACACCATAAGGTTTACAAGTCTATGTAAACTCATAAAAATTAGGCAGATGAACGTCATGTGGGCCAATGGAATGGAATTGGTTTAAATAGTTTAAAACAGACTTTGACATTAGCAAGATTGCAGCAAAGAGATTTAAAAATAATTGTAATGTAGACTCTTTTGCAGATTTTCTCCTAAATCAGTCAGCCCCAAACATGGAATATAATAAAAGAAAAATCAAAATGTCATCGATAATAGGAAAACTACAATAATAGGCAAACTATAATGAGGGACTTTCTGCTATAACAGGTAAATATCCTTTACTTCTGTATAAACTATATTCTTCGTAATTGTCCTTTTGAGCTCAAAGGGAAAGGTTTAAGGGTCTCCTTTGAAAAATCAAACATTTGTAGTGCCAATTATTGAAGAAGAGTTGGGACCTGAAACAGGAAATCATCATTTAGAAGATGGGTTTCAGAAGAGAGAAAACTAGAGACTCTTTCTATGTCTTGACCTTGAGGGAAGGCAGTAGTAGTCGCATCATGGAAGCAACGGAGTGGAACAGAGATTACAGAAGGCCACTGGTACAATGCAGAAGCATTAAAAATAAAATATCATTAAAAATAAAATATCATTAAAAATAAATTTTATTAAAAATAAAAATGACTGATTCTGATAAAATGAAAACTGAAAACAAATCTTAAACACATAAACTAGGATATCTCCTTGATATCTACAAGTATTGGTGACAGGACCCTAGAGCATACCAAAGTCTGCAAATACTCATGTCCCCTGTATAAAATATGGTAGCATTTACATATAATCTCTGTGTTTCCTCCCATATACTTTAAAATCTTCTGTGTATTGCTTATGATCCTTAACACAATGGAATTGCTACATACATATACCATGTTGTTTAGGAAAAAAAACCTGTGTATGTTTCATATAGATGAAATTTTTGTTTTCAGGTATTTTCAAACTGCAGTTCGTCCATGGATATGCAGGGCTGGCTGTAGTTTATTTGACTCAATTTAAACATTAGTATTCTTGGAGTGTTATACAAGTTGAAAGAATTTTTAAATGTTTTTGTGAAGTATTCAGAATAATTTGTAGGTAACAGAATAAATTAGGTGTATTTAAGCTCTCTTGAAACATCAAGTGCTTCCTAAATTCTTGATAAATTGAAATAGTCCTTACTGGGACAGGACTGTGTGTCCCTTTGCACAGCAGTTCCTCACCATTTTCTTCCCATTTGCTGCCTAGAACAGTGCCTGGCACAAATGTCTATCCAATAGCTGGTGAGTAAAAGAATACCTTAAAATTTTCAAGGCGTGTATTGGTGTGTAGTTTTTATTGGTGTGTATTGGTGTGTAGTTTTTATTTGGGTAGAGGCTGGCAAACTACAATTTCATTCATTTACTTATTTAATATTCACCATTTATTGTCAAACGCAGTCTATAAATTATCCCCTTAGTTCTACCTGTAAATAGGACTATCAATAGCCCATTAAGATAGCTGAAGTTGGCATTTCTTACATTTGTATGACTGGTCCCACAAAACTGTCCAATACCTCTTTTACTATCCTCTGTTCTCTTCCATTTCCTTAGATATTTAGCATACATTAGTTATCTTTATATTTTCATGTCTCTGTTACTGCAGATATTTAATGCTTTCATGAGCTCTGTCAGGATTTCTTCATGTTTTTCTTGTAACCACATTACATTCTATTTGTCTTAAATATTTGAACATTCTATACATGAAGAATGTAAATCACTGATCATATGTAAAGTATTACAACTACAAAACTAAAATTAACAGTTTAAAGACTGTTGATTTAGATTGAGTTATTTTTTGAAAGAATCTGTCAACTTAATAAGCTAAAAGAAAAATTAGTATAAATGAAATAGAAACTGATCTTGTAAAGATAACCCTTGGTTATAAATATCATTTGTGCCATAATTGAGATATTTACTTTAATCAGTAAATTTGTGTATTTTGCTCAGCTTTTTTTTGTTTGTTTGTTTGAGAAACACAGCATAAAGTAAACTGTAGCATTAAAAGCCAGTCTCATTCCAATTTGTTTTTATAGCATAGTGCAGAACAACCCAAGCTTAAAGTACATTCAGGCACTGAGACTTAAATCCCTAATGGTAAGAAAGTGGTTCTATAAACAGATGTGATCATGGATTCTGAGTTTATTTGCTTGTGGCAAAAATAAAAGTACCAACTCAATAAGTTTTAATTTATAGGTATCTACACCAGAAAGCCTTTGGGCACTTGGAACAAAACTGGCTGAAAATGAAATTTAGTAAAATAAAACTTCATCTACCCCATTCTCCATTCCCACCAGGGAATGCACATTTCCCAGCTGTGGAGGGGAGAGCTTTCTCCACATCTCCTGCAGTCTTTCTCTTGAAATTGTAGCCATGTGATGGGCTAGAAGAGCACTGTGTGATTTGCTGTGTTCCTGACACTTTGGAATGTGAAAGAGGGCCTGGGGATGGTCATTCCACTCTAGAAGGTTTTCAGATGACCTTGGTGCCACCTGCTCCGTGGGCATACAGATGTGCAGAGACTTTCTCTCATATCCCACTGGGAATATCATGTCTGTTTCTTTAGCAGAAACTGCCTTCATGTATAGATTTAAATATAAACTGTGCTGGTTTCTACAACATACCTAATCAGCAGCAAAATCTATGATTCTAGCAATGGAGTATCATATATTAAAAATCCTATTCATTCGGCCGGCGCTGCGGCTCACTAGGCTAATCCTCCGCCTAGCGGCGCCGGCACACCGGGTTCTAGTCCTGGTCGGGGCGCCGGATTCTGTCCCGGTTGCCCCTCTTCCAGGCCAGCCCTCTGCTGTGGCCAGGGAGTGCAGTGGAGGATGGCCCAAGTGCTTGGGCCCATGGGAGACCAGGAAAAGCACCTGGCTCCTGGCTCCTGCCATCGGATCAGCGTGGTGCGCCGGCCGCGGCGGCCATTGGAGGGTGAACCAACGGCAAAGGAAGACCTTTCTCTTTGTCTCTCTCTCTCACTGTCCACTCTGCCTGTCAAAAAAAAAAAAAAAAAAATCCTATTCATTCAGAACATAAATACAGAACAAAGAGATAGATGCATGGTCCTGTCTACTGTAAGAAATCTTTTCATTAGAGGGCCTGCTTACCTCACACTTTGAATTTCCAAGGTCTCACTTGTGAATTCCAGAATGTCAGCAGCTGTCCCCACAAACATAAGGAGAAGCTGTGAGAGTTGGTCTCGAGTGATCTCTCCCCCAATGGGTAGTAGCCATCTTCCAATTATTAGCAGTAGTAGGAATGTCTGATGGAGTCCCAAAGTCCAAACTTTCTCACATACTGCAGATAAGTTATTTACAAAAACTCGGGCCTGTTTAACAGAAATGTCACACAGACAGAAGGATTATCAGCTACAGTCTTGGAGAGAAATGCCCACTTTACCATGGCTCTTAATCAAGATTTTGCTTTGTAGATAGTCTTTCATAGGACTTATTCTTCACTTAAAGAAAGCAATGCTCCTTTCAGCCAAACACTCTGAAAAAAATATCTAATGTGGTTCTTAAGATGGGACTGCCCTATAACTAACAAGTGATTTAAACCTTACAGTTGCTAGTGGTATTGCACTATATAATATTTAAAATCCAGTTTTGCAATGCTTTGAAGACTGTTTCCCATTTTATTTATTGTACACTATAACAAAGTATAATATAGCAAAATTTTATAAATTCCATATTAAAATCACAAAAATCTTATATTTTGACTTTATAGATTTTAAATATGAATTCAATCATCTGGTGATGTTTTTGTCACTGTACAAAGCTTCCTTTTTGTTCATTATTGCCTTAGAAATCTATTGTAGTCAACCAGGAATATAAAACGTAACAATGTTTATCCATTACATAAATGTAAAGAAACATAATTACTATGAAGTTATTATTTTATTCTGGATATTAAAATCTATGATTCAATAATCCTTAAATTAGCAAGCAAGTTTTAATCTGCCAGTATTCTTGTACTTTGAGAAAAATTTATATTCCACTCATGTCTGGATGAAATCTCTTGCTCAATTTCCTATAATATTGATGCTATAGAGATTGTCTAAAGACTACCAGAACTTAGATCTAGAATGGATAAGATAATGATTCTAATTTATTTATGCAAGTTATTTAACTCTTTCTTTAAAATCTACTTACCTCTATTGATCACTTGCCAATATTAAATGTACAAGTAAAGGGAGGAAAAGAACAAGCAGATGCTAATTTGATTGAAACTATGCATAAAAATCAATAATATTTCATTTACACCATTCTTTATGTTATAAAACAGCACATGTATCCAGTGTAATACATTCAGGAATCATACTGGTAGAGAAAATATGAAGCATATTAGTAGGATAAAATATTAATATTTTTAACGATCAGATGAAAACTGAGAAGCAGAGAGGCTAAGCAGTTTTCCCAGAGTGATATAAATTGTTCTTGTAGATTGAATCATTATATTAAACCTCACAGAATCAGTAGTCTATCATATTGTGGAAAGTATGATGGACAAAGGCAATACAATGGGTAAACGATATTATTGTCCACAGATGGTGCTGGAATACCTAGATATCCACATGCAAAATTATGAACCCACACACAGACCTGACACCCTTCACAAATGTTAGCTCAAAATTGATCTGAGATATAACTTTAAAATATAAAACTATAAGCCAGCGCCGCGGCTCACTAGGCTGATCCTCCGCCTTGCGGCGCCGGCACACTGGGTTCTAGTCCTGGTCAGGGCACCGGATTCTGTCCCGGTTGCCCCTCTTCCAGGCCAGCTCTCTGCTGTGGCCAGGGAGTGCAGTGGAGGATGGCCCAAGTGCTTGGGCTCTGCACCCCATGGGAGACCAGGAGAAGTACCTGGCTCCTGCCATGAATCAGCATGGAGCACCGGCGGCAGCGCGCTGGCCGCAGCGGCCATTGGAGGGTGAACCAACGGCAAAGGAAGACCTTTCTCTCTGTCTCTCTCTCTCACTGTCCACTCTGCCTGTCAAAATATATATATATATATATAAAACTAAAAAAGCCTTAAAAATAATATGGGAGAAAACCTATAGGACCTCATGTATGGTGACGACATTTTAGATGCAATATCAAAAGCACCATTCTTGAAAGAAAGAATTAACAGCTGGTATTCATTAACATTAAAAAAAAAAGTCTTGTTTGTAAAAGACAACATCAAAAGAACAAAATATATGCCACAGACGGGAATAAAATATTTGTAAAAGATATACCTCATAAAATATTCAAAGAACCCTTAAAATTCAGTAAGAAAAACAACCTGATGAAAAAAGTGTGTCAAAGACCTTAACAGTACCTCACAAAAGATGACGACAAATAAACATATAAAGCAATATTCTGTATAATGTCATCATAGAAATGCAAATTAAGAAAGAGATAACACTACACACTTATTAGATGGCCAGAATCCAGAAAACTGACAAAGCCAAATGCAGGGAGGATGTAGAAAGACAGGAACTCTGATTCATTGCTGGTGGGAATTGCAAAAAGGTATAGCCGCTTAGCAAGACAGTTTGCCAATTGCTCACAAAACTAAACATGGCCTTAACCATATGATCCAGCAATTGGGCTCCTTAGTTTTTACTCAAAGGAATTAAAAACTTATATTCACACAAAAACTTGTATAAAAATATTTATAACCACTTTATTCATAATTGCTAAAACTAGAAAGCAACCAAAATGTGTTTCAATTAATGTGTGGATAAGTAAAAAAAGATAATGGAATATTATTTATCACAACAGAGAAATGACTAGCCATGAAAAAACATACAGGAACATATTATGAAGTGAAAGAAATCAGTCTGAAAGGCTACATATTCTATGAGTCCAATGATATGACATTCTGGAAAAGGCAAAAATATGGAGACAGTTAAAAAAAAAAAAAAAAAAACCACTGGCTGCCAGGAATAGATGTTTGTGGAAATAGAAATACTTCATATGACATATAATGATAGATACATATCATTATTCATTTGTCTGAACCCATAGTCTCCATAATTCCGAAAATGAGCCCTAGTATAAACTGTGGACTTTGGGTGGTGATGTGTCTATGTAGTTTCATTAATTTTTTAATTATAACAAATGTACCACTGTGATGCAGGGTGTTGGTGGAAGAAACTACATATGTGGAAGCAGGGGGATATGAGGTATTTATGCCTTTGTCTCAATTTTGCTGTGAATAAAAACTTCTCTAAAAAATAACATGCTAAAATTTTATATACATATATCAGATTCCAATTGTTTAATTATATCATTCCTTTATGTATTTGTCTCTCTGCATGTATATATTGTCTAATTTAAGTGTTCCTAATACTGCAGGAAAAATATATCTATTTATATATAAATATGCTTGTTGACTATGTTAAGTAATACATAAAAATCTTATTTTGTTAATCCCTAAGCCAAACAATTAGCCAATTGACAAATTTCATAGAAAGAATGAGCTGAGGGATGTGTAGTATGTTATCCTCATCAAGTCCACCATTAGTTAGGTGGTAGGAAAAGCTCTCACCGACTCAATGAGATAATCTGCTCCATTGGTTTGTTCACTGGATACCTCGGTGTAATTGATGTCCTCTTTTCTGCTAGTATTCTGTGACATTTCTTCAGACGGCACACTGCAATACTAGGAATTGGGAAGACAACATACAAAAAAAATCACAACAAGGGACAGTTTAAAACAGCTTCAACCTATCCAACAGATTATGATCATATATGTGTAGTTTATACAATTTACATAAATATTTCTTAAAATCTAAATATGATAGGATTGAGATAGAAAATCAGTTTTCAATTAATGTTAAAGAGTGTGAGCTCTACATGTCTTATGTTTCCATAGACATTTAAAAGATGCATATGGTAAGAGTTATTGTGGAGAGCTACAGAATTTAAGAATTAATAATTGATTCTTTCCTGAACCTTGAAAGAATTATAACAAACCAGCAATCAATGACAACAACAAACATGTAAAATCCTATTCAAAACATTTATTTTACAAGTTTGTTTCTTACCTAGAAGCCTCTTACCTAAAATACCAGTTTGTTTAAGTATATAATTCAATTACTTTCAATCTTGCCTATCAAACACCAAAACAAGCAGAAAAATTAGTGTGTTCAGTATTATATATATTTTAGTGTCAAGTAGAGAAGTCAGTTTATAAATTTCTGGAGAACTTGACAGTGGACCTCAAAGAAGTGACTTTTTTTTTCTTTCCTGTTTTCTTCATGTTGCAAATGTATTTCTAGAAGTGAACTGTGTATTTTTATCCAGCCAGGTGCTGGAAATCTAAGGTGGAGAAAAACAAGGATGAACATTAGAGAAAAGGAGTGGCACTTGAAAATGTCACTGTAGATAATGCCTATTTTGCAGACTACTTCAAAAAAGGTTAAAGCATTTTTTTAAACATCTGTGGTTCTAACATATTTTCAAACACACACACACACAACACAGTCAACAGCACCACCACTATCATTACCACATGTTCACAATCACACATTTGTTTTTAAAGAGAAATTATTTTTTTAAAAACTAAAGCTGTAAAAAGTGTTTTTCCTTAATTATTTTAGAACTTTTTTGATAATTTTACAAGCTACTTGAAAAAGTAGAAAAGAGCCGGCGCCGCAGCTCACTAGGCTAATCCTCCGCCTTGTGGCACCGGCACACCGGGTTCTAGTCCCGGTCGGGGCGCCAGATTCTGTCTCGGTTGCCCCTCTTCCAGGCCAGCTCTCTGCTGTGGCCAGGGAGTGCAGTGGAAGATGGCCCAAGTCCTTGGGCCCTGCACCCCATGGGAGATCAGGAGAAGTACCTGGCTCCTGGCTTTGGATCAGCGCGGTGCGCCGGCCACGGCGGCCATTGGAGGGTGAACCAACGGCAAAAAGGAAGACCTTTCTCTCTGTCTCTCTCTCTCTCACTGTCCACTCTGCCTGTCAAAAAAAAAAAAAAAAAAAGTAGAAAAGAAAGTCTGCAAACAAGCTATTTTTCTCTATCCAAACAACTAGTGTCATGGGTGAAATGAATAATTAAGAAATATTGCCATGTGCCATATCTCTAGGAGCAAAAATACAGCTGTTTGTACACTTCGTGTGAGTGTCTGTGTATGTGTGCAGCTAAAGTTCCATGAAAAGTTAGTGAAAGTAAAACATTAAATCTTTGAACCAAGCCACGAATCCTCATGGCTGGGTTAATATTTGGCTTCTTTCTAAGAACTTAATGATCAGTAGGGCACACTTGAACATTTTGTTTACAGGTCGAGAGCAGTATAATAAAAGTGGAGACCTTGGGGTATTCATTTGGTGCAGCAGTTAACAGGCTGGTTGGGGTACTCCCAACCAATATCAGAGTGCCTGGATTCAAGTCCCCACTCCGTTTCTAATTCCAGCTAACTGCTAATGCACAAGCTAGGAGATAATAAGTGATGGCTCAACTAATTGGATCCCTGCCACCCCCATGGGACTTCCTGGCTCCTGGCTTCAATGTGGCTCAGCTTTGACTAATGTAAGGACCTAGCAGTTGCAGGCATTTGGGGTGTGAACCAACTGATGGAAGATTTCACTTTGTCTCTCATTTTCTCTCTATGTCTTTCTGACTTAAAAAAAAAAAAAAGTGATCTGGATGTGCTTTTTACATCCTTATCTCTAAAAATCTAGAAACACCTTATTATTTTTTAAGACAATCATTGTTTAGTGCAATGTATAACTCTGAAGCAAGCATCTTGGTAGCCAATATTGTGATAAGGAGACTTATCGGAATTTCTCTCCATTCTTGTTATTCTATTTGTTATGATGGGTGAGATTTTCCTTTAAGTGTCAACTATATTAGGACTGCAGTAAAGAAGTGATTTGACTCCTAAAACCTAATCTGCAGTGATAATGTTTGCATTCAGCATTCAGCATTGTATAGGTGATTTCATATCCATGATCTGGATCCTAACAGGCTACTTTTTCATGTTTATGTCTTTAAAACTCTTGTTAGCTTCAAAAATATTCCTTTGGATCAAGCCTGACTGGAACATCATGAAGAGCAGGACATTTCCATTACTTTAGTTGTGCTGCTTCCTAAAGAGATCGGACTAAGGGCTAAGGTCACAATCGTCGTAACTATTTGTTTTTCCAAGCAAGTAGATCCTGCCAGATTCAGGAATGTAGGTACCATATTGGTCATCTAGGAAAATGTCTTCATGCCATAGGTCAGGGTGTTTTCCTATTACAAGTCATAGGTGAATACATTTAGGTTGTAGTGCAAATGGAAAATGTAAACAGAAATTAAATTACTTTTTTCTCATGAAAAATTCAGAAGATTTTAATGCAAACTCTTCTAAAATATACAGCACATATCTGAAAAAAGGCAATGTGGCTTAGTGAAAATAGGTGTTCATTAGGTTCTAAGTGCCAGCACTGTTGTTGATTAGCTGTGTGGCCTTAGGAAAATCACTTAACCTTTTTGAGACTCAAGGTCCTCTTTTATAAAATATAAATATATGCACCATGCCTAACTCATGGAGTTGCTGGGTCTGTAAATGAGAAAGTATAACAGAAAACACTGAAACATGGGAGATAAAAGATAATTACTGTCATAACCAAACTTTCCTAAATGAGTAGACTGACAGAGTTACTGTTTCTCTCTTTATTCTGACATTTCTTATTTCTTTGAAGGCAATTCTCATACTTTTTTGTCTTTCATACTGTTTCTACTTCCATCTCTGTTCACTCAGCCCAATTCAATCTCTGGGCACTCATTTTAATTCTCAGTGTCAAATCTATTACTACTAAAGGTTCAATTTCTTTTGTACTATGGAAATTAGAGAGGTACTGCCTGGGGCTCAAAAATCTTTTTTTATTAAAAAGAGAGCTTTTGGTTGCATGCTATTTGTTGTAATGGGATTTGACCTGTATATCAATTAACTGTGCAATGCGTTTATATTATAAAAGCATTTGGGGAAATGAATTGTTATTGTGGATGATAGCCATGTCATAGAATTGGAGGTGAAGGAAAAAATTGATTCAAATCACCAGAGCTTATTTCCATACTCCTGAAAGAAGTAAGTAGTAAGGAGATTGAAATAGTTCCCTAACTCCTTATGGTGCATGGCTTTGAAAAAAGCCATGCTCACTTGAACCAACCAATCTATAGTTACAAAAATAATTTTGCTGTAGACATAGACATAGTCTATGACTTTAATGTATTTAGAAGGAAATTTAAAGAGGAAAAATAATGTCTTCATGCTTATGTTAGTGGGATTTGCTTGTGGATTTCTTCAAAAATATCCCACAAAGCTAAATTCCCCTCTGTGTGCCTAAAATTTGGAACAAGCATTTTCCAGATAAGGTTATATTTTGGAGATTTAGCCCTGCTATAAAATTACTAACTGTAACAAAGTAATATGTACAGAGCTAAATTCTCACAGATCTTGCTTAAAGTGTTTTATGAGTTAAGGTACCAAAACATAAGTACGGTTCATCTGCAGCAGAGAAATGTAACCTGAACCTTGATGTTCAAGCTGGACTCTGGTGGACTTCACCAATTGGCCTTCTCAGAGTGGTAGAGGAGCATTAACAACGAGATGATGGAGCCCAGACTAGAACATGTTTAACTGAGCTAGAACATGTTGACTAGCTCAGTTAAAGTTCTCTGGGGGCAGACATTTGGCCTAGTGGTTAAAATGCCAATTAAGATGCTCACATCAGAGTGCCTGGATGTTATACCCAACTCCTGCTCCAGACTACAGCTTCCTACTGATGTAGACCCTAAGGGGCAGCCATGATGACTCAAGAAATTAGTGGCTCCCTGGCTCCAGTGTGAGACTTAGATTGAGATTGTGCCTCCTAGCTTGGGCCCAGCCCAGTCCTGGCCATTGCAGGCACCTGGGAAGTGAAACAGCAGGGATAGAAGAAGCTCTGTCTGTCACTCTATCTCTGCTGATCAAATAAGTAAAAATAAAGATTATTTCACTTGAAAGGCACAGTGACATAGAAAAAGAAATAGAGAAAAAAAAAAAAAAACAATTTACATCTGCTGGTTCACTTTCCAAAAGTCTGCATACCACTGGGGCTGGATCAGGCTGAAACCAGGAGTCAGGAGTACCATCCGGTCTACCACTTGGTGACAGGGACACTTGAGCCATCACTCCATTTGCAGGAAGCTCTCAGTAATGTAGAACAAGGTAGCTGGAACTTGAATTGATAATTTGATATTGGTTGCAGGTGCCCCCAATAAATGTGGCTTTACCACAATACCAGCCTTTAAATATATTTTTTAATTTTAAAAACAAATCTCCATATAAAAAATAAGAACTCTCATTGGAAACCATTGTTTATTTTATAGGGCAATGTGGTCTGATCCATACAAGCCTGCCTTTCCCTACAGTGGATCTCATGGTCCTCTCCTTTAGCCTTAGTTGAGGGCTTTGCAATAGCATTTCTTTTTCACTGAGAAGCTCATGAAATCCTTGGAAGTGAATCTCCTATAATCTGCAAAGGTGTATTTTAAGTCAGACTATTTTAAATAGTTCCTACGATTTTGATTATGTCTACATAAAAGAGTACAGATGAGGGTTTGGTTTTGACTTTGGTTGTGTAGTTCTTAAAAATGTTACTTTCCAGTACACTAGATTATTGAGGCCTGCTCAACTTCAGCACAATACAGAAACTCATTGAAACCACAAGGATTAAAACCAAATTCCCACTTCCCCTTATAGCATGGTATGGGTGGGCGAGTGAGTCTTTTTTTTTTTTTTTTAAGCTTTATTTATTTATTTGAAAGGTAGAGTTACAGAGATGCAGAGGCAGAGGGAGAAAGAGTGCGGTATCTTCCATCCACTGGTTCACTCCCCAAATGGCCTCACTGGCGAGAGCTGGGCCAATCTGAAGCCAGGAGCCAGGAGCTTCTTCTGGGTTGCCCATGTGGGTGCAGAGGCCCAAGCACTTGAGCCATCTTCTACTGCTTTCCCAGGCCATAGCAGAGAACTGGATAGGAAGTGGAGCAGTCTGGTTTTGAATTGGCACCCATATGGGGTCCTACCTCTAGAGGTGGTAGCTTTACCTACCACGCCACAGCACTGGCCCCAAGAAGAGTGGGTCTCATGAATAAGGTCTCTAATACAGGGGGATGGCATTGTGACACACTGGATTAAGCTCCTGTTTACAACACCAGCATCCCATATCAGAGTTCAAGTCATTGGAGACCATGATTAAGTTCCTGGCTCCTGACTTTGGCCTGGCCCAGCACTGGCTGTTGCAGCCATTTAGGGAGGGAACCAGTAGATGGAATATATACATATCTTTCTCTCCCTCTCTTCCTGACACTTTCCCTTTTAAATAAATAAGTAAATCTTTTTTAAAAGAACTGTAATGCAAAATATTAATTAATATGTAGTCTTAAGCATTAAATGAATATAGTATTCTTTTTGGTTCTTTGACAAGTCATATATTCACTTTGTTTTAATAGTGGCTTCTTATTTAATCCTTAATAACTCAAGTTTCTTAGAAAATTGGATTATTGAAATAAATCAGATCATACTGTACAAGTAGTTTTTTGCTGAATATTCTAATTTCCTACTTTTCAAAATGAAGTACCTGAGTCCCATGATGCACTTCAAGAAGCCACAATGATGGCATGATGCTAATCAGATATAAAAATATGGCTGGTGAAAACCTGTGAAAGAGGGGGAGAAAGATAGTTCAGCTTTAACAGAAACATTTTTAAGAAAAGATACTAACAATTGCACATACCCTGACCACACTGAGTAGAATCTTTTTAATGTAAATGTTTATTTCAGTAGGAAAGAAAAGCATTATGTGATTTCTGCCATATGGATTATAGAAAAACAAAGTAACTGTAAAAGGCACTAGCAGCTGTCATTCTCACTGAATTCCTAATCCAATTAATAGATGTTAATTTTAACATGGTTTAATGGGACACTGCCAATTAGTTACAGCCATAACACTGGATATTTTGTTTTTTTATATGTTTTATAAAAAGCAAATAGAACAATATTAAATCTCCTTGGATTTTTTTTCAATATTGCCACTTTAGAAATATTGGTTACATTTTTCAACATTAACCTGGCATTTTGAAAGCTCAAATAATAACATCCTCCTAGAACACAAAAAAAAATCAGGTGAAAGAATGAGGAAGGACAAACATCTAGTAATTTTGTGCAGGTTTGCTAAACGTGTGAAGCAAAAAAACAAAGAGCAGCTGAAGAGCTTGGTCCTTTTTAAAAGGCTATCTATGTTCATTGTTTCCTGGTTCAAAATTCAGACTGGACTTGAAAGGCTGGGCTTCTGTAGGCAGAAACGCTCAGGTTAAAATGCTAGTTTTGCCATTGACCTCTCAATGTGTCTCCTAATCCACAGCATTGGGGAAGTCACTGCATCAGTCATTTCAGGTTGCCATACAAAATACTATAGATTTTGTGACTTACACCACACAGTCATTTTCTCATGGTTCTGGAGACTGGGTGTCCAGATCAGGTGCCCGCATAGTTGGGCTCTGGTGAAGGCCCTCTTCTCGCTGGTAAACGATGCCTTCTCCAAGTACCCTCACACAGCCTTTCCTTGCTGCGTGTGCAGGAAGAGACTTCTCTTCCTTAAAAGCCCAGCAATGTTATTGCATTAGGACTTCACCCTTATGACTGGATACAATCTGAATTACCAAATTAATTCCAAATCCTGTCACAGTTGGGGTTAAGGCTCAATTAGTCAGCTTTTGTTTCCTTTAACAAAAATACCCAAGAGGAATAACTTAGGAAGGAAGATGAGGGTTTGGAGATTCACAGTCCAAGATTGCATGGTACTGTTTGTCTTGTTTACGTGGAGGCTGATAATGGCAGAGTATGCACAGAGGAACAATCACATGCAAAGACCAGGAGACAGAAGGAGCAGCTGGGCTTAAGTCAGCTGAAATAATCAATACTCTGGGAACTACCTTCTAGGGGCAAGCTTCCAATGACCTAAAGCACTCCCACTAGGTCTACCTACCAGATGTCATTATAAGATCAAGCTGTATCCTTAAACTATCAATTATTAAAATAAGATTCTGGAGTCTAAGTGTCTGCATAATTTTGAGATCCATATCCTATTGAAACTGTAATGATGCTTCAGTATGTGAATCTGGAAGGGGACATCATTCAGCCCATGGCAGTCACACTGATATCACAGAGGTTTTTATTACATCTTCTATAAGGTAGTTCCTGTCAGAAGTGGGAATTCAATAATAGGTCAACAATTATACTCTTATGGGAGATTCTCCAATGAAACTGTGTTCTTAAAAATTTGAAATACCATAAAATATTTTTTCAAATTTATTTCTTCAAATTTCCCTTTAGATTGAATTCTTGCTTTAACATTTGAATGTCAAAATTGTAAGTCAGTCTGTTTTTATTAAAATACTTTTAGTAAGGTGAGCACTGTAGTACAGCAGGTTATACTACTGCTTGGGATGCCCACATCCCATATCAAGGTGTTGATTTGAGTTTAGCTCCTCTGCTTCCAACCCGGCTTCCTATTAATGTATCCTTGGAGGCAGTAGATGATGGTTCCATGCTTAGGCCACTTCACCTACATGGCAGACAAAGATGGGGTCCCGCAGTCATTTCAGAAGTGAATCAGCGGACAGAAGACTGCTCTCTCTCTAGCTTGCTCTCTCTCTGCCTTTCAAGTCAAATAAATAAATGAACTTTAAAAAATACTTTGAGTATACATATGTGGCAATTTAAAGTAACCTGGGAAATAGAAATGTTAATTGTCCCATAGCTAGCACTATTTGAAATAAAATTATGTTATTATAATACAATGCAGAAAAGTCAACAAACTGAATGAAAAAAGAAAATTTAGAATTTCTAAAATCTATTAACCTTTTCACTAATATCTTCTGTCAACTTCTGGGGAGAGGAAGGGAAAGAGGACAAAAGAAAGAGAGGTCTTTAAAAAATAGAGATGCTCGCCCACCTTTGATTTCCTGCAAAACCCAATTTTGAATCAAACATTGTAAATCATGATATTTTTAAAATTTGACTTGGAAGATGACCAGGCTGTGGAGAAATTCCAGAGGTCTGAGTTCAGCATGCTCTTAGAAAAGAAAAATTAACTCTTTAATCTTTCATATCAAAGGAAACATCAAGAGAGATTATTTCCTGTGTGAAATTGAGATGGAAGCAAATTCTAATCTGTGTAACAGTTGGAATATTTCAATTTTTGTTTGTACACTTAAAATCTTGTCTGACCCACAATCTTATTGACTGCTTTTGAATTAGTTTTGAAGTTAACTCCTCTAACAATACTTTAACAATAATAATCCAGGGAAACAATAGATTGGATGGATATATATTAATGCTTGGAAGAGATTAAAAATAAAATGAACAATACTCTTAACATCTGCTATGCCTAAGATTTAGTTCTACAATCAGAAAAAAATATCCATTTCAATGTACAAAGTTACTTCAAAATGTTCATGAAAATGGAAACTAAAAGATAAATTGACTTTGGTATAAAAAATTTTGAAATCCAGGTATTTTTTTCATAATCTACATTTTCCATGAACTTTTTAAAGTATTTTATTTAATTAGGAAACTGGTTATATAAGAAAGAAAACTAAGAAACATCAAGTTTTAATATTTTCTGTGTTACCTAACATAGAAAACATAAACTCCATAATCTGATATTCAAAACCTCCATTATCTTATCTTTATTCTTTCCCTACTGTATTTTACCACGCTGAACAATTCAGTATGTTAACCTGCTGTGTATTTCAAACAAAACAAAATGTTTAGGAATGCCTTCCTAACTTCAACCTCTCCTGAGACTCATTTGACACAAAGGAAAAAGGAGGTAGGAAGATGAAATCATATCGATGGCCCAAGAATTCATTTTATATATAAATATATATGAATATATATTATACATATAATATGTATTCACAGTCTTGCTTAGCTAACCATGAGTCTTTTCTAACAACATGCTTGGATAGGCATTTAGCCTAGCGGTTAAGATGCCAGTTGGGATGCAGAGAACCTGGCCTCAGTCTCCAGCTCTGGTTCCTGATTCCAGCTTCCTAAAGATGGGGACCCTGGGAAGTAGTGGTATGGCTCAAGTTCCTGGGTTCCTTGCCACCCATGTGAGAACCCTGGACTGAAATTCCTACTCCCAGCTTCAGCTTGGCCAGTCTTGGGCTTTTGGGGATTTGGGGAGTGAATCAACCAATTGGAGTAAAAGCTCAAATCATTAAAAAAAGAAAAAGAACAACCTGCTCTATATTCTTCCAACTTGGTGAATCTGAGAAGAGAAGTCCTGAAATGTTTTTTGATAAAAAAAAAATCTCCCCAAATAAATGCCCTTCTCTTACATGTCTATGTATCAACACCCGATATGGTTTTTTTTTTTTTTTTTTTTTACATTTCTTTTTAATGAGAGGCAGAATGACAGAGAGAGTGTTGCATGCAATGCTGTGTTAGGATGAAACTGGGAACTGAAACCCAGTGGTCTTCCTTGTAGGTGTCAGAACTCAATTACTTGAGCCATCACTGCTGCCTCCCAGAATTTGCATTGAGAGAAAGCTAGAGTCAGGGGCAAGCATTTGGTACAGTGATGAACTCACTGCTTGAGATGCTTGAGTTGCCCATATCCCATATTGGGAATGCCTGATTTGAATCCCAGCTACTCCTCTTTTGATCTAGCTTCCTGCACATGCATCTTGAGAGGCAGCAGATGATGGTCCAAGTACTTGCGTCTCTGTCTCCAACTTAGGAGGCCCAGATGGAGTTCTGAGCTCCTGGCTTCAGCCTGGACCAGCCCTGGCTGTTGTAGGCGTTTGTGAAATGAACCAGTGGATGAAAGATCTCTCTGTTCCTCCCTCTGTGTCTCTGTTCACATAAAATGAAAATAAATGAATGAAATTATATAAATATTTTATATAACTGTATATAAGTTAAATAAAAGATATATAAAATTATATATGTGCATATATGATATATCAATATAAATAAAATACATTTTATGCAAGATATAAACATATATGTGTATATATATGTAAATATATATATATTACATATATATATGATGAAGTCAGGAACCAGAACTGTGAATTGAACCTAGATACTCTGATGTGAGACACGGGCATTTTTACCCAAGCCTTAAGTCGTAGGCCAAACACTTCTAAGCCCACCCTTATCAGCCACCACCATCAGTTGTACTTTAAGTACTCAGCAGGAACTACTCTTAATCTATATTTCTCTTGTGACCCAATGCATTATGTACTGTTTCATAGTTACGTGTATATCAACTTTATATGCTTAAAATAAACTCCTTGAAGGCATATCATGGGTTTTATATCTCCACTACATCATCTCCTCTCCCCAGTGGTGTTAGGGTCTTAGGAAATCTTCAGTTAATGATTATAATGTAAACAATTAAATGTTTGAATGTCTGAATAATGAATACAGGAAGGACTGAAGAAATGAATAGAGGTGGCTGATATCCACAAGAACCTTTTATTTAAGGAGGTCTTATAGCAAGTATGCTTTTTTAGTTTAAGTAATACAAATTTCATATATTTCATGTATGCATATTTAGGAACAAAGTGGGGCTTCCACTCCCTCTTGCCCACATTCCAACCCTTTCCCCCCTTCAGATTCCCATTTTTAATTTTGACAATGA